TTCTGAAAGAATAATCTGTCATGAAAACACTGAACTGACTTTTTAAATATCTAGGAACAGTAGATACGTAGAAAACAATGTAGTGATTTCTAGAACTCAACATGAATTTGTCACGAATAAATTTTGCTAGATTATCTCATTTTAACTATAGTCAGTCCTCATGTTGCAACCATTTATTCAGCAATCGCTCAAAATTACAATGCTGAATGAAAGGAATTTATGATGTCTCTTGGGAGTTCCTGCTGTCACAATGGTCACATTATTACCATTTGGGTATTTGGTGACCAGCTCATGATTATGATTTTGTAATGAATTGTAATCACATTTGTGAACTCTGATGTTCCCTCCGATTTCATTAAAGCATTTGGTATTTTATTAGGAAGCTATTTAAATGTGGACTGGTGCATATAATTAAGTGAAAACACAGCTGGTTTTATTGTTTTCTGATCAAACTAGATTGAGGTATTGAGCAAGAGGCCACAAGTTCAATCCTTTGTTCTCTATGGTCAAAACTTTTGTATTAAAAGTTTTCTACTGGACAGTCACACAACAATATGGGTTTGTAAATCCTTCAGTTAAGCATTTCTTCCCATTTTTGTTGCCTTACATATTTTAAAAATGATTTGGTACTCTTCTTTCCTGCTGCTTTTGCCTTTCTTTTCTCCTCTATTCTGCCTTCTTTTTGGGTAAATTGACTATCTTTATCCCATTTCCCCTTTCTTCAACAAGTTGAGTTGAACCTATATCTTGGTCATCAACCGTAATAAAGGATTTGATTTATAAATTATTTAAGAGGTGGATGGAATGCTTTTCGCACTTGCAGATGTCATAAACCAGGTGGAATTACTGTATTTTTCGCTCCATAAGACTCAATTCCACCCCCCCAAAAAAGTGAGTGGAAATGTCTGTGCATCTTATGGCGCAAATATGAATAGAAAGCAGCAGGGTTGTGGCAGCAGGGTCCTTTTACAGTGCTGAACCCTGCCTCTTCTGTCTTTTCTATAGTCCAGAAGTGAATAGCAGAGCTGGCACAAGAGGACACCTATCTGTGGTCCTCTCAGGCTCTGCCTCCTGCCCTCACTACACTGCTGGCTCCATATTCAGCGTTCCGTATTCACAGTGAGACAGCCCTCCATATTTATATTATTTTTGTCTTTGCCTCCTCAAAAGCTAAGTGTGCCTTATGGAGCAAAAAATACAGTATATCTGAAACTTTAGATGACAGAAATACATTCCAAAATAATGACAGGATTGAGAAACAAGCTAAAAATAGGAAAAAAATGGAGACAAATGTAAGGCTGTTATATTCAGTGTTGAATATTACATTTTAAGAAACTATCAGAGAAATTAGAAACAGTTCAAGAATGGGTAGTGAGGTTGTGTCTTTGGAAGTGGGTTTAACAAACTTGGTATGTTTAGCCCTTGGGCAAATGTAAGGAAGAGTATGATAGGACCATTTGTTTTCATAATTGCTGCAATTCCCCCAACTGCCATCCCACTATCTGGTTTTATTCTCTCCTCCTACTATGCAAAGTTTTTGAATAAATATTGGAATCTTTTATTTTGAATTGTGCACAAACTGTGTTTTGTTTACAGCTTTAATATGACGAAGTACTGACTGTACCAACAGTTTGCTAACTGACATGCAATTGGTGGGAATTTCAAATATTTATCTCAACTACCAAAGACACCACAGAACATTTCTCAGCATCAACTGTTCAGTTAGGATCCTCAAATAAGTAATACTCTGACCTAACATAGCACATAATAATGGATACCATCCTTGGTCTGTAACAGCAATGTAAGATATAACACTTGCATCACAAATAGATATACAAAAGTTTCACTTTTGCACTCTAGCCTTTCTTGTTATCCAACAATATAAAGATCTTCATATATACAGTATTTATAAATTAGCTAGTCTTTGTTGAAATTTTTACTAAAAAGTGAGATTCTGAAAGTACAGCAGTTGCTTTTTCCTTCACTGATTTGTTTAACTTGTCCTGAGTTACACTTGATTTGTGGAACCAATAGGCCTTTGATACAACAGAAGAACCACAGAGCTAATCTTTAGTGATTTGCATATGGATTTCCCCAAGTGGATGGCCACTGGGGAAACAGAATGAGAAGCTAAATGGTTTTCTGGTGTGAATTACAAAAAACTCTGGTTACATTTTTATCTGTTCAAGGCAAAGTCAAATGTAGCTTAACTGCTAAGACATCCAGTTGTGGTCAATGAAAAAATAAAAGCAAACCTTCTGATAATTTAGATTTCAATGTACCAAAGCACAGCAAGTGCCTATGACAATCCCTATGATGTTATTTTTATCCAAACTAAGCTTTAAAATATAAAAAAATATACTGTCAACCCAGAGAGGCATATACGCATATACACTTCTGAAAAAAGATAAAGTATGCAAAGAAATTCTAATTTAATTTTTGGGAGAAAAAATAACTAGGTTTTTTGAAAAAAAAAAGGCAGTTGTGTTTTATGAGCATGTGCTTTTCTGAATAGAAAAAAATTGTCAGGGAATTTAGAATTTAAATTTATATAAAAATGATAAAAGAAAGCTGGCACTGTAGTAAAACAAAGCAGAGATCTTATCTCTTCTGTCATTCCCTATTCTTGCATTTCCTCGCAGCAGAATATTCAGACAGTAGATTACCTTATTTGTCCCAGGAAGCTTTCAGTTACACATTTTACAAAAAAAAAAAAGGCAAAAAGAACCTTTTGTATAGAAAGTAAGCTGCTCCCAGCATAAAGCGGAAAAAATGATACATCAACTTGCAACTGTTTTGTTAGCCGAAGCTAAAAAATAATCAAGAAATGGTGTTGGAATATCTGTGTAAAGTTTGAGTTTGTTTAATATCACAGTAGCAGAAATTGCTTGGTCCCCCAGTGCATATTTGTCTATATATCTATCATTAAGCATATAAAGAATAAAAGAACAAATTGCACAAATCAGGAATTTCTTTTGACATCATTCTCAGTGATATAACAGAATTCTACAGGCCAAGGAAAATGTCTCAGCTAAGTTGCAAGAATATTCGTATCAATTATACTAAGAGTTGCAAATATTATAAAATAGTTGTGATTATGTAATTCAACAGAAATAATATTTAATATTTAATTTTCACATAATTTGAAGTATATCAGCAAGAACACTGATGGGGAAAAAAATCACGACGGGGGAAGAGAAACTGGGAATCAGAAAGGGTGGACAGAAGAGAGAGGTACAGTATACAGTCCTAGAAAACCATATTTAAATTACATTTTAGTTTTAACATACAAGAAGGTCCTGTTTCTTTTCATTTCAAAAACTATTTAATAAATGCATCTTTTTTCTTGCGGCTTTAAATGCAATTAAATTTGAATGTAAGTTTCCTAAGTATTTTTTCTCAATAAGGATTAAGATGACCTCTCTGCTCCAGATTTTAACAGTGCCAAGCAGAACACAAACTTCTTATAAAACAATACAGCATATGTACATACAACACATTTGTCAACAACAGGACAGCTTCCTTTTCAGGGAAAAGGCACCTCAATAATGTTCCATATACTCTTGCCCATCCTACAAAAAAAAAATTAAAATTATCTATCCAGTCTAACCCTCCATCCCCAATGAAATTATTCTTGAAGATCATCCAATATATGGTTGTGTAGTATTTATGGGTTATTTCCTGTTATCGCCACATGATACACCCACTTCACAAGCTGCACCTACTCCCCATAGGCTTTCAGATGCAATTTAAGGTGCTGCTCAACACCCAATTGCAGATTATTAATGGGACTGCCTATTCCCTAAGGTATCTGCCCCACCCACATATTCCAACAGGGAAGACACATTCCAGGTCTCATTGAGACACTGCCACTTTGTGAGACTTCAATGATGTGCCTTCTCAGTGGCCACCTCTACTTTCTGAAATAATTTGTCCTCCTAACAACATTGTAGTAATATTGCAAATCCCTACAAAGTGGCAATTAACACAATGATAAGACAACAGCAAGCCATTTTGGTATTCATTGTCAAACAAAACTATATGGATATGTTCATGCAGTCATCAAGAGTCAAATGAGTCAAAAAGGGTAAAAATACTCAAGCAACTCATGTTCACTTGCTACCTAGTTTTTGTTGTTGCCTTGGAATCAGTTTTGATTTTAGGTGGCTAAATGGACATCAGATTTTCATTTGCATGCAAGGTTAGCACTGGTTAAGAGTCGTTTAGCATCTTATGCAGCCTATCAGAATAGAGAACAGTTATTAGCAGAAAGCAATTATATTAACCTCGAGCAAAAAGAAATATTACATATGTCCAAGGGACTATGGCTGTGAATTTAACTTATTCCATTTCATTTAAGAGTCAGGTTTGCTACAGAAGAATACATATTTAATTATAAAGTCTCTGCAGAAATGTTTTGTTAGAATGCAAATAACTAAGTTCAAAGACGTCTTTTTCATATGGAAAAACATAACACTATGATAAATGAAAAAAAAACACTTCTATTTTCTAAGTTTGTAAAAGTATGTTTACACTTTATTTTTTTAGGGATATATGAATGACTAGAAAGGAAGAACAGGGAATGTATTCAGCAATATATAGCAGACCTACCAAAGCAAACAGATGTCATGTCAGAAAACAGCATAGCAAACAGTTTCTAATTTTTGCAAATTTGTTTGCAGTAGCAGCCAACATGTAGGCTGACATTTATGCTAAATTTCTTACCCAACATTATTTATGCAAAAAACCCCACCTACCTCAGAACACTATACAATTCTCCTTTTAAGCATGCACATGATCTGTTTATGCCACAATACACTGACAAAATTGTAACATGTCATTGTTATCTCACCTCTTCAATCTGTTCTTCAACCTTATTAAAATGCCATCTGTTGCCACCCTGAAAATCAAGCTGTTAAGAGCATTCATTCATTCTCATTCAAGAATCTAAGTTGATTGGTAAGTAGAAAAATAGGTTTCAAATCAACTTTACAGAAGAGTATGAGAGAGAACAATTTCAACAGTTTAATTTCTTTTGTTGTTGTTGTTTCCATTGTTCTTTTGAAGAAAGGAGCCCCCAATGAATGTTAAACATTTCACTAAGACAAATCATCAAAGGAATACTCCTTACTGTTCCACTCATTGCAAAATTAAAATCAAATCCAAACACTTCATTAAATCTTTAAACCATTCATGATATAAAACAAGGCAATATTTGTGTTGCCAGGCCAAAGATTTATTCTCAAATCAAACATATTTTAGTATCAGGTAATCCTTGATTAACAATCACAATTGGGACTGGAATTTCTGTCACTAAGTGAAGTGGTTTTTAAGTGTCACATCCAATTTTACCTGTGATCTTCAAGCACATTACTGTGATTAAATGAATCATGTGATTAAATCTAGCTTCCCCCATTGACTTTGCTTTCAGGTCGGTAGGAAGGCTGCAAATAGTGATCACCTGACCCTGGGAGGCTGCAACCATAATAAATATATATTGGTTGCCAAGTGTCCAAATTTTGATCATATGACCAGAGGGATGCTGGAATAGCTACAACAGTTGTAAGTGTAAGGACTGGTTTGTAAATCACATTTTTCAGCACCACTGTAAATTTGAATGGTCATTAAATGAGTGATTGTAAATTGAGGGCTACATATACAGTAATGGGAAGAAAATAGTTGATGTTCTTTGCTGTTATGAATTGAACTGAGCAATAGTTCTTACAGCTTTTGTGCAATTGCCTTCTTTAGTCTTTCAAGGGGCTGGTTTAAGTATTATTTTTCTAAAGAAAACGTTCATGCTGGAGAGGAAGTCACATATGCTGTATGCTAGTATCAAAATCAATACTATTACAGCAGCCTTTAAACAAATCACAGTTCTTGCTTAATCTTTAGATCTTCCTTTGGGATTAATTATTAAAATGCAACTATAAAAACGAACTAATAGAATGAATAGGTCTTTTTATTATGGTTTCTGATAAGAAGCAAATAAAATTCGTAACTGTAGTATGTTGAAATTGTATGTGTCTCTGAAGAACTACATGTCACAGCTTCAATACTCACTGCAATTTTGTGACATGTTTGACAAGATCAATCAAAACTCTCTAATGCTGAGAATAGGTGTTGGCAATGCAACTCTCCTGGAGCAGGCCGGGTACAAAAATTGATTATATGCTCTGTCACCATGCCCTTTGAGCAAACATTAGAGACATAATTTTTCTAAAAACCATTCCATTTATTATGATTATATTCAGAAAATGGTGAATTTATGGGATGTTCCTAATGGTAAAAACACCAAGATCAGATCGTATGGCTTCAAGACTATGGTAGTAGCAAAACAAATCATTGTCCAAAATTTAAAAAAATGCAGAGACGAGTACTTTGCAACTCTAACAGGAAATAGTAAAACTTGCAGCAGAAGAAAAAATATTACAGAGTTAAAGAGCCGTGATGGTACCATAGTTAGAATGCATTATTGCAGGCTAACTCTGCATTCCCACTGCAAAGACTTCAATCATGACTGGCTCAAGGTTGACTCAGCCTTCCATCCTTCCAAGGTCAGTAAAATGAAAACCCAGATTGTTGGGGGCAAAAATGCTGACTCTATAAACTGCTTAGAGTGGACAGTGTAAAGCACTATGAAACAGTATATAAGCCTAAATGCTATTGCTATTATACAATCAAATGAACAAACATAAACTGTTTTAAAGATTAAGCATGAAAACTTTCATATCTTATGAGTAAAAGCGTGCCAGTATAAATAGGCTTCCAAAATTATAATTCTACTTCAAAATCCAAAATCTAATGAAAGGTATTTTATATATTGATTGAATAATTTTTGCACTTGCGCTGTGCAATGTTTTCAACTTAGTTCTCCAAAGTTGTGTGTTCCTAGGAAAATAGGCAGCTGCTTTAAAGATTTCCAGAGAATGACGCATTCTCTGGAAATGTCCCACACATTTTAAATGGATTCTGAATGGCTACACATTTATAATATTTGTGCTTTGAAAATAAAATAAAAATGAAAAGGGGCCAGAAGTATATTACAGCATTGCATAAAGACCAAAGTGTAGACCTCTATCAGTTCATATATCCAATAATGATTGGGATTACAGGGATGACATTGCACTGAACCAAATTAATTCAAAAAAAAAAAAAAAAGCCTTAAGAATTGCAATAGGATAGATGCAAATTTGTCCACACAAGAATAAAGAAACTTCAATGGCCATTGACTCATTTTTCTATCTACCTGTACTCATTCTATGTAGAGCACAGCTCTGAAATGAATAATGTTAACTTTTAGAACAGAAACACAGAAATACACCCTTTTGAAGTAGTAGAATTCATAAATAGCAGCCAAATACTGTAAATTTATTGAAAAAAAATGCTTTTTGCAAATTGGGTTACAATTGATTTATCAGTTGTGACTTTTTCCTTTAAATTTGGAACAGCGGATTTTACAAACCACATTGTTGGCCTCTGGCATTCTATATAGAGCTGCAACTTTACAAAATGACATGGAATGTATAAAACCAATTAAGATAGTAGATGATAGTGAACTGTTAAATATTATTAATTTTTATAGTTAACTTTACTGCCTTATGACAACATTTTAAAAATACTCCCCCCCCCCCCCGAAAAAAGGAGTTAAGAAGTTTTCAGTCAAATATGAATAGATACTGAAAGGTCAGCTATTTTATTTTTAATGCAAAGTTTATAAAAGGCGGAAACACAATCAGCAGCCTAAGGGAATGCAATAACAAGGGCTTTCCATTTCATCCAAGGTAATATCCCTTTCTAAATTAGACTTAAAGCCTAATTTTAAAAGCAGAACAATATCCTAGGAATCAGCATGATGGTCTTTGAGCATGAAAATTAGAAAAATTTAGAGTCCAGCTATAAAGGAATCTCTATGCCTTCTCCTCAAGATACTAAGTGGATCCTTAAATGGTGCTCTATTTTATCCAAAGTTAATTACTATGATTCTATTCATCACAACTTAGAATCATTGGAGACTGAGAAAAACACAATTACCAACTTGCTTAACATTCAACATTTCTTTCCCATTTATCTGTGGAACATGGTCAAACCTGAAAGACATTATCCTCTATAATCAGTACTATCTGTCTTTCACACAACTTTAGCATATGCACATACTCCATGATATTCATTTTTTCAGCCAACATGACAATGGCTTTCACACCAGTTTGCCTAATTCAGGCTTAATTTTTACAGATCCAATTAAATTGCATCTACTTTGCAGTTCCCTTGCTTATCTCCTAACAAACTTAAGAACAAAACAAGCAGCATCAAATCGGTCCCAATATAACTCATACCTTATACATGTCTCTATAACGAACTAGGTTCTAAGGTATGCCCATGATAAGGTAGCATACTACATTTGAAACCATATTTGGTTGAGACTGTCCCTCATGTGCAATTTTCACTCTAACAGAAATCCTTTCTTAAATGTTTCATGCTTCAGTATAACAGAAGTGAAATTTTGGGGCATACAGTAGTTCAGTGTCCTTATCTAATCACCCTCAAGTGACATGGAAAGAAGATATGTCTCACAGTAAAAATTCCCCTCCCCTTACAAATAAGTTATATAAAGTTCTGAAATTATCTCCACTTCTGAGGCAGCTTTACAAGAGACTTCTTGGGCTTCTTCCTTTATACTTCAAAGCACCTTTTTAGAGCAGTACAGATGTAAGAATAATTTTTACTATAGAAGCTATTTGCATTTTTTTTGTAAAAGAATCAGATTTGAATGATTATAAAAATTATCTATTGTAACAACATAGGTCCAGCTACACTGAAAAAAATTACATCGCTTATTCGAAATACATTTCATTTTAGAAACAGGCTACTAAATAGGTCTATACAAAAACTCTAAAATAATTTTTATAATAAAATAAAGAGTGTGTTAGGAGAACTATTCAAATGAGATTAAATTCTGTTTACTATTGTTGTTGTTTTTCCTATGCTTCATATTCTGCAATCATGTGGCTGGTTTACTCCATAACCAGCACACCCACACCCACACAAACACTCTCTCACACACATATACAGAGCAGAAAAGAAATTAACAATACACAGTGAAAATTAATGCTCTGGGATTTAGTCTCACAGTCTTTCTGATTAGTACAAAGGAAACCAGACTTATCCCCAATTTGAGGAGAAAATCCAGAATACAAAAGCAAGCATACCTCATTAGCTGATATGAAATTATAAAAAAAAACACCACATTTCTCAGTCCTTTTGAAATTTATAAAAGTCAACAGTAAAACGTGCAAGCCAAATCTGTCCTATTGGCTCCCCTAAGTTGGATGATCACCAAGAGTAATGCAAATTTACTTGGGGCCAAAATGGTACCTTTTCTTAGGGAAGAGCACAATTCCAAACTTTGAAAATCAGGAGAATGGCAGGCAGAAGACAAGCAGTTAGTGGTGCTGCACTGAACTGTTTTTTTCTGCTAGATGTCGCAGAAAACTGTCCTCACCTTGGCCCCTATGATTTAAAGGCTCACTCTTAAATAGAGCAGGAGGTGGAGGCAAATGAGGGACTGGAGGGATGGGGACTGGAAGATGATGTGAATGATGTGAATGAAGATGCAGATGAGAATATGGATGGCCAATTGGGCGAGGAGGAAGTGTGCTCCCTGGATTCATATTGATTGAAGTAGGGGCAAGTGGGTTCGGTGTGTTCGCAACAGAAGGTACAGTGGTGGCAGATGAAGTTGTGGCAAGTGAGATCTGGGCAGAGGGTGGCACATTAACAGGACTGGTAACACGGAAGCACTTTTCCTTGTGTGCCTTAAGCATATTAGAGAACCGGAATCGCTGGCCACACACATCACACGGATATGGCTTCTCCCCTGTGTGAGTTCTGCGATGTCTCTTCATGTTTGGGCGACTGGTGAAACTTTTGCCACAGATTTCACAAATAAAAGGCTTCTCTCCTGTTAAAAGTTATAAAATGGCATCTTTAATAAAATTCAATTTTCATTAAAAAAAATTGAAAGCAAATCCTAAATCAAAGAAATTATCAAAGACTCATCTATATTGCTAATTTAAAATTTCCAAAATCATTCACAGTTGGTTATTCTGGTTGGGGTTCATAATTCAACTCAGATTTGTCAAGTTACAATTCCAATGCATTATGTTGATTTATACCCAAGAATTCTAAGTACTTCCCAACTTCTGGTCCTACAGATTATACCATTCACCTTCCTCACCTTTAACATGAAACCAGAGGTTTCTTCCAATCCATTCTTTTTTAAAATATACTTTTAAATCATTTTCCAATCTCATTTGAAATGTCAGCATCAATAACCCTCCCATTATTATTTATTCTATCACTATTTATCCAACTATTCAACCTATTATCTTTTTATATCTTGCTTTGACTTCTTAGACTATAAACCTTTGGTCACAACTATTCTGCTCACAACCTCTTGTAATCAGATTTTTGTTCTCTATATTCAATCTATTCTTCCTCATAATTTATCAGACATCTTGCCTCATTGTAGTTTATTTAGGTTTCATCGCAGATTTCACCATATCTGCAGGAAATTACGCTCTTTCATTTCTAGCTGTAATGTTTTATTCTCTTAATCTCCCATTCCTTTTTTACTTAATTTGCATTTGGTTCCTTTACATCACACTCATATATCTTATACACTTCTTCTTAAATCTTCCCAGTGCCTTTCTACTGCTTTCTGTATCTAATACAATACCTTTTATATTTTCTGTTCTGTCTTAATATACACATATATTGCCCTTCTGGCCTAAGGGGTTCTCATGCATTGTGTCAAGAGCTTTCTACTTTCAAAGAGGCTGTGCAATTTTATTTCCTTAAATTAATTCTCCTTCTTTTGCTTTCTACCGTTGAAATTCAGATGATTCAAGAATCTCCTTGTTTAATTGCACTGAAAACAGCATTTTATTTAGATTTTAATGGAAAGAAAATCTTATGTGCTGATAAAACTATATCTTTTAACTTCCCTATGAATTATTACATTAGTAGGTCTTGTATAAAGATAACAATCAAAATATAACCTTACCAGTGTGTGTTTTCATGTGCTCATCAAAGTACTGTTTCATATTAAAATCTTTACCACACCACTGGCACATAAACTGTTTGTGTCCAATATGGATGCTCATGTGAGAACGAAGTTGGTACTTGTACTGGAACCTTTCATCACAATTCTGCAAAACATAATGAGTAACTAGTCTCCTACTTGCAGGTAAGAAATTTATAATACAGTAGCAGTATATCAAACAGAACAGAGCTAAGTTTATATAAATGTATTTGACATTTTTTTTTACCATCAAAAATTTCAACACTAACATTGCATCTTATCAATACATCTAACAATTAGAATTTTAAAAAAATGCAATGGAATCCTATTTAGGATGAGTTGGTTCTGGTAAGAGAATAGTTTCAAAGTGAAACAAATATTTTAGGTAAATACTAGACAACTATGACCTTTTCAGAGATACTTCTTTACCAGATTCCTCAATACCTTCAACAATGGTAGAATTTCAACTAATTCCAACTAATTCAAGCGTGTAGTAGCCATTTTGAATGTTCTAAGGTTTGAAATAAATCTAGTATTTTTAAGCTGTTGTGTTGAGAAGGGAGTGGGGTAGGTAGTCAATAAAAAAAGCACTACCAACTAGTTTGGACATTAGAAAAGATTGCCTGTGCTCTTTTACTGAAGTTTAAATATTTGTTATTATTTAAAAGCGTTGTAACTGTGCAGGTTCTAAATATTGATATTCACAGCCAGTTGACCATGCCTGATGATCACACTGACAAATATCATATACCGTCAAATTATCCTACCTTATACCTCTTATAGAAAAGGTTTTGTTTTTAGTTGAATTGGAGAGAAAACAAACTCCTTGGCAGTATCTTACTGATTAATAGGAAATCTCCTCAAAAAGATGAGCAAATGAAAATTGTGCTTTTAAAAGTTGTAATTATGACAGATTTTATCTGTAAGCTAGCTAGAGACAGACAGTGAGGCTGGCGGAAGGAAGGAAGGAAGGAAGGAAGGAAGGAAGGAAGGAAGGAAGGAAGGAAGGAAGGAAGGACAGACAGACAGACAAAACTGTCTGAAGGATGTGAAAGTAATGGAAAAACTATTAGACATAAATAATCAAAAGACAGAAGGGGAGTTCTTTGCCTACCTTATAAATGGCAATTCAGATGAGAAAATAAGTATGCAGAAAATGAAGAATACAATTATTGAGACAGTTCATCACAATCTCACAGCTTGCCTGGCATACTGCATTTTCTTTTATATTTTTCAGGACTTCTATAATTTTTTCTTGTCTGATGAAGTGTGTTTCTTTTTATCCCTTTTTATCCCTTTTCACAAGAATGGGTAGGAAAGCCCTCATGCCTTTGAAGGACAAGGGCAAGTAGTATGTATATTATTCTATGTCTGCTCCCATTTACCCCTTCTTTTAATTGTCCAAAAAGAAAAGAAACATTGTGAGAGTTTTCTTCCTCACCCACACCGTTATTAAGGAAAAGCTGTGACTTGTGGCATCTCCTGGAAGACAAGTTTATAGCAGCAGATTTTTTTGT